ACGCCCAGCCGCGATACTACGATCGGATACCGCTTTAATTCGAACCTGTTTAAAACGCTTCGATTTACGGGTACACGGATTTACGGTGTCCTCGTTGTTTGCTTTTGCTTAGATTTATACATTATAGATCGCCGGCTGCTTTGTTTATTTATTTCTTCGTGTCCATTTTGGATTTACGAAGGTAAAGACGACGCATACATTTACATTTCTTCTTTTATTCGTTCTCCATTGATTTATAGATTACAGATTTTTTGATGCTCCGTCTATTCGTTCCATTTCCAACATCCATCCGTTCATAAATTGTCGATTCATAGAAGCTTCATTTATTCGTTTTCCTCCAGTTCATAGATCCTTGATTCTTTTCGTTTCCCTTCGATCCATAAATTCTAGATCCATCGAGTCTTCATTTTGTAAATTAAAGAACAATTTTTTTATGCATATTTTTGCTGCACTTTCGAAAACAATGCCTGGAAATATTGTCTTAAACGATGTTAAATTAAACATGGTTCTACTTTTAGCTGATTATTTAAAAAATCACGCGAGACTAATAAAGAAAGTTAATATTTCTTTTAGCTACAAACGATAGTTTAACACGGCACTACGTATTTGCATTTTTCTCCAATCATTTCTTTTTTACTGTGACCGTTATTGTACGCGATAATTATGCTGGATGAAGTGATTCACACTGTTTGCCGTGGAATTACTCTTTTTTAGTAACTCGCTGCGAGTACAGTTTGTGGCTTTTTTTTATGATAATCGAGTAGGCAGAGAGTTTCGTATCGAGGTAAATATAATCCTCTATTAAGTGATTGTTATAAATATTCGTATTAAGAGCGATATGGTACAACAAACATATTGATCTTTTTTTTTTTTTTTTTTTATTTTTTTTAAACAATTGATAGTTTAGAACAAATCCCATTTTCTACCATAAAGTACTTTCCTAATTTTTTTGATAGTGATTAATTTGAAAGAAATTTTGTCGTAGTAACAAGAACTTGAAAAACAGGAATAACCTTATGAATAATATATCAAGCTGAACGAAAATATCTTCATTGATTAAACATTTCTACCCATGACATAGGTTCACCCACCAACCTATTGGCCACTTTTGGAAGACAATTTTGCAAATAACATAAAGTGTAAAATTAGTGATCAGCAATTTAAAGTGACATTAGGAACAGGAACAATTCGAAACGTAACCTGTACATTAAATCAAGGAGAAAATATCTACTGTCTAAATGAATAGTCGCAGTCATAAATAATATATCGAAAAGTCAAATTTTACGTAATTTATAAAATTTTCAATATTTTCAACGTTTCACTGGCAGAAAAAATTCCTTCTTTTTATAATATCGTATGGGTAGCAAGAGTCATTAGCGATTTTAATAAAATATAAAGCGAGCCCCGTCACAAAGTCCTATGATATCCGAATATTCCGCGCGCGTGATATAACCCATTTTCTGAATTTATGTAAACGACAGGAAAGGAAAATACACGTCCCCTTATTAAAAATATACAGTGTATTCGCACGCGCATAAATATTTATGATACCGTGGGATCGATAAAATGAGATGCGGCATCGGTACCCGATACTTGAATCCGGCGTAATACAGGCTCAATTTGTATTACTATAAAAGCGGAAACGGTTATCCTCGTTCTCGTATCTTCTTGTTAAGAACTTGACCGTAAAAAAAGTCTCGCGGATGTTCCTTTGTACTCCAAAAGAAAGTGGATGAAAATTTCGCTGCTCGCGTTTACGTTCGTGCCGAGGTACGCGTTTACGTTCGTGCCGAGGTACGCGTTTCCCGTTCGTGTTGCACTTTCGTTGGCGAAATAATCGAAATTAATGGCAAACATGGAACGTTGAATATTTGAAAAAAAAATACCTAATTTGAAGCAATCAACGTGAAGACTCGCTATTGAAAAAAAAAAAAAAAATACAATATTATCATGCATGGAAGACAATGAGAGAAAAATTCAATCAGAGGAGCTCGGCGAATCGTTTCAATAGAAATGTTCAGACAATGATGAATTGACTAGGAATTGGACGTTTTAAATTAATATACGCATACCTGCCGGCAAAAAGGGAATCCATATGTGGAAAGTACTATTCTACCCTTAACAATGGAACTTATTTTAATACGTTGATGTAAATATAGATGAAGAAGCATTAATTAATAGTAACAGCGATAGACACCGTGGAAGTACCATATATCCTTTATATACACGTATCTTCGTGTTATTTAAATAGAAAAGTTCAAACAACGATAAATCGACTCGTGTTTCCATTTCAAGAAAATAATTATCCAATGTAGAATAAACATTGTGGAAAGATTATGTTTGCAACAAAAACGTTGAAAATCCAACAAAGCATTGCAAAGGGAAAATACACGGTGCGCTTTGTTGGAAATGCTCGTTTGCTAAAAGTAGTGCTCGATGGGAGTATCGATGTTGGTTCTTTTAAATTTAGTACAGGTCATTGCGCATGAAACGCCTGATTTATAATCCGTGTGTACCGCATGCATCGAGTTTGTTTTCACGTGCGTAGTTATAATGAATCGATTTAGTTAAACCCGTCGAAGTACCGTTATTAATAGACCCTGAAAACTAGAATCACTAAAAAGTTTTTAGTAAAAACAGCATCCACTCTACTAGAAACAGCAAATTGTCTTGCATTGTTCTCATTTGTCTTTCAGTGTTTGATCTGGTGGCTGATCTGGAACAGTTCAAAAAAGAGGGAAAAGCCGAGAAACGATGGCTGAAAATAACAATAAAATAATCAGAATGAATGAATAATTGTGATTATGAATTTCAACATTTATCAAAGGATAAAGGGATCATTTGAAGCAATTGAAATTCAAATAATAGATCTTTTTTTTTTTTACCAACGGAACGCAGAAAACTTCTTCACACTAACGATTTGATATAAAATTATAAAATTTAATTGTTACCTCGAAAAAAACAATTCCATTTCGAAAAACCAATTACTTTTCGAGCAATCAATTAAAGTATCTAAAAAAGCATAACAACATTTAACGAATATAGATTATACGAATACGAACATATTTCATAGTCCGACGTTGTATTATACAAACGTCCACATGTGAATGGAAAATAAATATCAAGTATTTATTTTATTAAAAATAATTTTATTGTTGCATAGCCTAAAAAAAAAATAAAAATGAGAATTCTGAAACGAATACGCGACACGATTAAATTGCTATAGGTATTATGACTTTATTCGTATTATTCGAATACAATGTCGTCCTCTGCCGGTAATATCGTATAATAAGGAACGTATTCTCCGCATTATATGGCCGTCTGGTGTGCAATACGCAATGCTACCAATTACTTCGTGTGTTTTTTTATTTTTTTTTTTTTACGTAGATCGAAAAATGCTGCGATTCGTACACAATGGCCCAAACAGCACGGAAGCAAACAGACACTGGTAAATGTTATTGATTCGGTAAATATAGGGAGAAAACTGTCCTAAATATCAAGTTGATTAATAACCTTTCTTGCTCGATGTCGTCCTAATTGGTAGAGTATGTATGCATCTGCCGCGCTTTTAAAACCCTTTCAACCATAACCTTTCAATTTCATGTTGTGTGCAATTCATTCGGCATCATACTTTGAAGAGGCCACGTAATTGACAAATCTTTATGCAAACGGAGGAAAAAATAACTCAATGGAATTAATATATCGAGACATTCAACGATAGAAATAAATTAAGAATATCTCATTTAGTGTCGCTGTCACGCTGCCGTATGATAAGTAGATACAGGTATCTTGCGAAGCAATACAGTTGAAACAAATCGTAATAACATGATAGAGATAATATCTCTATGAATAAAACGCGTTTTATTTATTCGGTTGCTGAACAATCAATATCGATCACTGTTAATAATGCAATTAATCAGAACGTATATTTAAAGGGCTTGTGTTAGTTATACTGTACATGGTTCTATAATTTATCGAGAGTAATCTCCCATTTTATGTTTACAAATTGCTAATTAATGCTTACAAATTACAAAATGTAATCTCGACGATTAATCGATTAATAAGTAGTGGAATAAAATGATGATCGATTACTAATGTACTCTATTCGAAAGAAATAATTACAATTCCTGTGTTACGCTTCATTAATTATTAATGAACGTTGTGTCTGAATTGTTTGCTATTTTCATTTTTGAAAGTCGTTATTTATTTTGAATACAAAATTCTGTGCAACATATATATATATCCAAATAATTTCATATTACATTAATTATAAAATTACATTCCATTCAATATATATTTCAACGAGCCATTATGTATGTATGCATTATGTTGATATCAAACCAATTTTCTAACTAATTTTCCTTATTTTGTGATCATACTAGAATTTTATATGAATTTTCATGACAACAAAGATTGCGTGAATGGAACGTACAAAATGTTTGTACAAGAACAATTAAAATATTTGTAAAATGATAATTATATTAACGAGCGCTACTGGAAGCAGCTTAATATTCCCTAGAGTATGATGCATTATGGTGGGTTCAGAGTGAACAGCGCTCAATACGCGAACCACAGAACCAATCGCGTGCCGGCTGTTACAAGTTGCCCGTTACTTCTTATACTTGGGAACACTAACTGAAAACAATCGATCGCAATGTAGTATTTTTATAACGATGAATAACGTCACAGTCGTATACGTACATACGAAATAATCAAAGTATCCATCAAGAAATAACCAAGATTCGTTGATCTAATATTTATAATTTAATGTATATAAACAAACCGTACGAAAAAGACGAAGTCGATGTAGTTTCAATTAGGTAGGTTAGAACGTGACCCGACAATGGAGCGCACACAGTCCAAGAACGGGCTTAAATAAAAATCACTAGATGGACGCCCGCGTATGTATTCAAAAATACATGTACCCACCTTACTACTGGTGATTCTGTGTTTGACAGTACGCGCGTATTTCGCGGCTATCATCGAATTCGGCCGACGTTAACCGATGTTTAACGAAGCTCGCGAGTTCCGTGTGTGTTAAGTGTTCGTTGGTGTTTAGTTGGTGCGCCTCGACTGGGCAAAATCGCGTAAAATGGAAACAGAATTTCGTTGTGAGGTTGAGGTTGGCCGTTGAAAATAGTGAACATGGGAAGGTCCAAGTTTCCCGGGAAGCCGCCGAAGACGGTCACCAGGAAACGGATTAAAGTTCTCGGCCAGCCTGAGACAGTCCAAAGCGATTCGGTAACCGTCGCCGAGAACATCTACTACGGACTTTCCCTGTTCAACGAAACATTTGGTGACAACGAGAAGGTAATTTGTATGTAGTTTACTTATGCGATCAGTATCTGATGGAGGCCGCCTAATTGGAATCGGTTGGAAAATAATCCTCTCGAAACTTATAAACAACCGTATTTGTCTTGTAAGCGTCATTCGTACCCATACGGCGCCGATTCGCTGGCCAGAAAGTCTCCAAGATTTGGCTGTATAATGAAGGTTAACCTATTAGAAGGGAATCGCAGCCTCGGAATGGCAGATGTGTATAATATGTACTGACGTACCGCTATAGTTGAAAGTGTCAATGACTCGATAAAAGACGCTTTTCTAGCATTGTTTTCATTTTGTAAACACGATTTACTGACGTTATTGTTTTCTCTCCTGTTGCTTTTAACGAAATGAAAAATTTTAATGTATCGATTATTGTAATATTATGATATTTTTAAATTATCGAGTATCTTGTAGCCAAAATATCTGGCAGAGAATACCTAATTAGTATCACTTGGTATGTAATCCTCTTGCAACTTGCACGTAACCATATTTGTTTTATGAGCATAGCAAAGACTCGTACTGCTCTAAAGCTCTGTGATCAAAAAATGTACAAGACTTGTATAACAAAGGTTATAACCTGTTAGAAGGGAATAGCAAATGTGTACTGATATTATATTTAACAGTATTGATGCATTCTTTACTTTATTTTTATTCTGTAAACATAACTTGTTTACATTGTTATTTTCTCTCTTATCGTTTTTAAGAAAGTGTGAAATCTTAATACATGTTTCAATATTCTCAAATTATCGTGCAATGTCTAAAAAACAGAATTATGACACGAGTTAATGATACAATTAATATACTTGTTGATTCCTGTTTAATGTTCATATCAAACTCTTTCCTATAGGAACATCCACCATTCCATGGTTTTAGCACCAAAGAGGCTAATCTATCCGTGTCTTACGTAAAAACGCAACAACATGACACAGAAAAAGGAACAGTTAAATCACCACCAGATGCTGTTGAGAATCCTATACCAAAATCAAACGAACAAAATGTCACGGATACTAAAAATTCTCCTCCAAGTACTGAAACTAATACAGAACAGTTATGCGATAAAAATATAGAACCAGCCACAGATATTAAAAAAGATGAGACCATAGTAAATTCCAAATGTGCTTCTAAATTTCATAGATCTAAAAATCGTAGAAGTTGCAAAAATATAAAATTCTCCAATTTTATGAAAACGCCAGTATTAAAATCAGTGAACAATATCTTAGATCAGCATCAACGAACAAGACAACTACGTAACAGTACTGCAAAGAGATTACTACAAAGGGCGAAATCTAATAGTAATAATGCGCGCAATATGACTACGCAATGCGGAGACAAACAAAACGCTGTAAGGAAATTTATTTTACCAGTTCGAAGCGCCCATTCGTCGAGAGTTATTAAACCAAATAAAAGATTTATCGAAGAATTGGAAGAAATTTCTGGCACTGAACACAGCGAAAATGAAATTGGTACGCATGCTAAGAAAGCTAAATTTGTATTAAATAAATTTTGTAATCAGGATCCAAAATTAAAGGAAGGAACTATTAGTAAATTATGTACAAAATTGAAAGATAAAGAAGTAAGAAATAAAACTAAAAAAGTTGTAATTCAATCTGTGAAAAGTTGTGAAAAATTAGCACCTTCCGTACAAGATGCGCAAGTATTAAAAATCGTTAATACAGATGTAAAAAAGAATAATGTATCAAATAAAAATAAAGCGTTAAAATCTCCATCCGACGAATCGAGTAGTACTCAAGATTGTTCGCAAAATACAATTAAGAAAGCTCAAAATTTAAGATTAACTACGTCCAAAAGTCAGAAACCAATTTCTGTTCCTACAAAAGTTCTTCCTGATTCTGATGTTCCAAGTTCAGAGTCTTCCAGGATTCAAACAAGGTCAGGAACTCAAAGCGAGGCCACTGATCTACAAGTTGAAACAAATTCTGAAGATACTGTGAAACTAAAAGAAGATACTAGTGCAAAGAATCAAGGTAATTCTGATAATGGAAATAAAACTGCAGAAGGAAATTCAGATAATTTTGATACAGAAAGTACGTTATCTGAAAGTGGAAGTGAGCATAGTAATCATACAGAGGATGAGCAGTCAGAGTGGACTGGAATGAAGTTAAATGGTGGAAAAGTCATTTTAAGAAAAGCAAGATTAAAGTTAGATAATAAATGTGTTGGTGGTACTGAAGGGCCTTTTTCAACAACAAATAATAATAATGTCACGAATGGAAACACCAACTTGGGTAGGTGTCTAATTTTTCTAACTTAAGAATTTAAGAATTAATTTTCCAATGGAATTAAAATAACAATTGGTATTTGTAATGCTTCAGGTTTAACAGGTACTATCAAATGTGGCGTTTGCGGTGCTGTGCGATTTTATCGATTTGTAAAACAAGCTCGAAAATTTGGTATTCATAGTTGTGAATCATGTCGGAAGTTTATTAGTAAAATGATCAAGCGGCAGGCGTGTGCGAAGTCTACAAACAGTATCCTCCCGGTTCTTCAATGTCACAAAGGAGATGGTTTATGCTTAGTTCCACCTGTTGTAAGAAGTCAGCAATGGAATCTCATGAGATGTGTTTACAAAGCTAGATGTCCGGCGTGTTGGTTAAAAATGTGTTTGAAGTGTTATAACATTCCTTCGTCGCTGAGGACAGGTTTAAATGCGCTACTACCACCAATGATGAGAGATCCACTGAGTATTCCTTTATTGTTGAATCAAGAAGATAATGATAATCAAGGACAAAAATTAACATCTTGTAAGCTAGATTGGCCAGCAGAAGACAGTTCAGAGAAGAACTTATTTAAATCAGCAATGAGTTGGAGAAACATAGAAATGGGTCAGAAAACCAGCTATCAAGGCACTGCTGGTTTTTTGTATACAAAATTAGATAAATGTATGTCATTGATATGTTTAAATGTATTTAATTTCTGTTAACAAATCCGTACAAATCATAGTTTCCTAATAATTTTTAATGTTTTTATAGTTGATTCATCACTGAATATATCACCTAGCAAAAAGAGAAGAAAAAACAATAGGATAAAAGTGAGGAAGAAAATAAAGAATCCAATGTTCTCTTCACCATCTATAAATCAATGTCCGCAACCCCTTAGACAGAGACTCGAATTAAAGGGACCAAGAGTTAAACACGTTTGTCGAAGCGCAAGCGTTGCTCTTGGTCAACCAATTGCTACTTTTCCTTCCATAGATGGAAAAGAGGATACCGAAAGCAATAAGCACATTCCGAAAACGTTAAAAGAAAGCGATAGGATAGAGAAAAAGGATTGCGCAAAAGAGAAAGAATTGCAGAAACATAACGATGAAAATACCGTGAATGCAACCCAACAGTCTCATCTAAAGAGAGGAAAGACACAGCAAAGTATGGCAACATCAAATTTTCAAACAGTGAGTAACTACAAAACTAAAATATATTTATATCGCTTATCGGTGTTCACAATTCGTAATTAACATTTATGATTAAAAAAAAAAAATTATTTCAGGTTTCTAAAACAAATACCGATACTCTACATACAGTATCGATAGACTTTTGGGAACAGTACGATCCTACCGAGGTTGGTGCAAAAGGTTTCGCCCTTATCGGTTCAGAACTCTTTCATATTCCTGCTATTTGTTACCTTTGTGGAAGTGCTGGAAAGGAACCAGTAAGTAATGTATATATGTATATTATTATATGTATACAGTTGTACATTGTAACCATCTTTCCAGCTCATCCATTGTCAATGCTGTTGCGAGCCATATCATGCCTTTTGTTTGGAACCCAGTGAATGGAATGCTTGTGCCCAACCAAACTGGTGCTGTCCTCGATGTACAATATGCCAATCCTGCCATCTAAGATCTGGTCCAAAATTGTCTTGCATTCGTTGTCGTCAATCATTTCATCACTCGTGTTTGTCAAAGTCTGGTGTTAGTGCGAGACTATACAGTCCTGAAAGACCTTTTGTGTGTCAAAGTTGTGTCAAGTGTAAGAGCTGCGGTAGCGAAGGAGTTAATTTTCATGTGGGCAATTTACCATTATGCTCCATGTGTTTTAAATTACGTCAACAAGGAAATTATTGTCCCCTGTGTCAAAGATGTTACAACGAAAATGATTTTGATGCGAAGGTAGGTATACGTTCGATTTTCCAAGAACAACAAATATGCGTATAATTACACTTTTTTTCCATAAAAGCAAATCATTACAAATGAACATACAATGAAAAAATTATTTATGTAATATTCTTGCTAACAATTTTTTGTTACACTTTTCAGATGATGGAATGCAGCGAATGTTCCTATTGGGTGCATTCTCGTTGCGAAGGACTTTCCGACGAACGTTATCAGGTTCTTAGTTATTTGCCAGATTCTATTGAATTTACATGCAGCCAATGTTCCTCTAATCCTAATTCTATTTGGAGAAATGCTATAGAGGCTGAACTTAAGGCCGGTTTCATAGGAGTCATTAAGGCACTGAGTAAAAACCGTAAAGCTTGCGCAGCACTAAAATGGAGTCCAAGAAAAGAGTGTTTGTGCAAACCTATTCCCAACATAAGAAGATTAGATTTTTCCAGTGAGAAGACGGATTCGAACACAACAAATACTAAAGAAATTCAAAACATAGAGGGGTCTGAAGAGTGTAATAATGACAAATCTAAGGATACCGAATCTGGTCTCAAAAGTAATTCAAAATCTGATGTAACAAGTAGACAGAATGAAGATCAACCAACTGATTGTTCCAATAGGCGGGGTTTAAGGCGTCTTCGGCAAAAGTTTCATTTAAAAGAATGTTCGGTTCGAGTAAAAAATTGCGCACTGAAAGATATTCAAGATAATGAGAAAAAGGATTCCGCGATCCAAGAAAATTCGAGTATTAATTTAAACGATACAGAGTGTCATTGTTCGGATCAACAAATTATTGTTAGACCCTCGCCTACGTTGATGTCCGTAAAGCGGAAAGTTAACAACAATGAATATAAAACGTTGTTACAATTTCACTGTGACATGGAACACGTAATTAATTGTATTGGAACTAAGGAACTGATCGACGCCTATCACGACATTTTACAAGAAGTATTCCCGTGGTTCAGTCCGAAAAATACGAAAAGTAGTAATGGGAAAAGTGATCCGGTAACACTCGCCAAGGATAATAATAAGGATAACAGTCCAAGTATAAAATTTGGTGATTCGGTACTCGAAGTATGGAAGGAAGAAGTGATGAAAACACCGAAAGCAATCGCGACTAAAACAGCAAATTTATACAATGTTAACGTCGAAGACAGTAGATCGTGTTGTTTATGCAAAGGTTTAGGGGATGGTCAAGAAACAAAAGAAGGACGGCTTTTATATTGTGGACAAAACGAGTGGGTTCATTCGAATTGTGCGCTTTGGTCCAATGAAGTATTCGAAGAAATCGATGGTTCTTTGCAAAATGTTCATAATGCTATTTCAAGAGGTCGTTTAATACGTTGTTCTGAGTGCGGAAAGAAGGGAGCGAGTATTGGTTGTTGTGCAAAAAATTGTAGTAATACCTTTCATTATCCTTGTGCAAGGAACATTGGACTTGCCTTCAATGACGATAAAACAGTATTTTGTTCTTTGCATTTAAGCAACTGCTCGCATAAAACGTTACAAAATGAAAGCGAATTTAGTTTACGAAGGCCAGTATACGTAGAACTGGACCGCAAGAAGAAAAAGTACGCGGAACCAAGTAAAGTCAAAGTTATGATAGGTTCGTTAATGATCGATTGCTTAGGTTCAGTTATGCCCGAGTATTCCGATGCAGTTGAGAAACTAATACCTTGCGATTATAAATGTTCCCGGCTATACTGGTCCACAGTAAACCCATTAAAAATCGTAAGGTATTACATTAGAACGTATGTGCAAGTTTACCTACCCGAATTCTCTCCTGACTTAGAAAATAATGTAACCATCGATCATTCTAAAGAAGAAGAAAAGGAGGACATCCTGGATACACAGAAAACAGAATATCTAGCTGTGAAACAAACGTTGGATGCTTTAATCGACACGGTTTGTAATAAGGAAGTCGATGAAAATTTAGCCGAACAAAATAACACGGATCTTTTACCTCCAGAGTTGAAGGAAGCCATATTCGAAGATTTGCCGCATGATTTATTAGATGGTATTTCCATGCAAGATATATTTCCAAAAATGACGTATGAAGATTTTTTAGCGATGGATTTAAAAAATGACGGCACTTTTGCGACCGATCTATTCAAGGATGATATGCTGGCATCCGAAGTAGATGAGATTATAAAACCACCCGAAAACAAAATTTCAAAAGTAGATCCTTCTTTGTTAGAAGTAGCACCGCATAACGACCTTTGGGTTCACTTGGAAACAAAAACTTCTGTTCAAGATTTGATGGACGATTTGTTGAATTCTAAAAATCAGAAACGCGGAGGCAGAGAATTGAAGAGATCTAAGTCAGAAGTAATGTCGAATAGTCCGTTAATTGTTGGAGGACAAAGACACCATCAACGATCTTGCAGTTTGACTTGGAGTTGTAAATTGGATAATCCTTATGGTCCCGCTATAAAGAGAAGAAAATTATCGAGGAACTCGAGTATGGCAAAATCTAACGAAACGAGCGTGATGGTGTTAGATTCACAAAATGAGCGTCCACCTACTTTACACGAGTTAAGGATTCCGGATAGTATCATGGTTACCGTGGGCAGAGCAAATACACCCAACATCTTATCCGACTCGATGCGAGAATTAAAATATTGTATCGAAGATGCAAATAGTATTAATCGTCGGATATTATCTACGAACCGTGAAGAGACAAAAGAACACAAACGACTCTTCTGGCATGCAAGGCAACAGCCGCGAATATTACAAGTTGACGGACCGGCCGATCCAAGTAGTGCTAGTGAATGTAGCTCACCAGAATACAACGTCGAAGAGAACACTACAGAGTTACGTGTACCAGAACACTTGTCTATCCCACAGTTAGATGGTATCAACGATGAATCCTCTTGCGACAGTAGCGAATTTACTTTATCCGTTGAGAAAGACATTAATACGAAAGCGTCGAACAACATTTTACGATCAAAACGTATATATGGATTCATCAGATCGCATATCGCCAAGAACAACGATAAACCGCAAAAAGTAAAGGAAGGTGACAACTTTTTGAATTCTTCAAAATTTGCTACACACAAGATTAATTTTTTTAGAGAAAATAATTTGAAATTAAACGTGGAAATTCCTCAATTGGACGGAGCCGATGATATTTCCAGCGACGATGAGTGCATATCACCGCAACATACCGAAAATGAAAGACACGCTAACGTTACTTCTCAATACGACATAGCGTTCGATCACATAGATCGTCCGGTAACTTGTAAACGGTGTCGTTGTACCTACAGAACGCAAGATAGTTACAACAGACATTTGACGCACTGTGATATCATGATAACAAGTGACAGTGACTCGGAGACTATGGATAATAAATTGACGTCGCCGGATTCTAGATTTTCGCCGAGTATTGGTTCCGTGTCTCCGCAATTTATAACTCTATCGCCATCAGAAGGACATACTCTTTCTTCCGACTATCCAGACATGCAAGCTACGTCACCATTGGAAGCTTCTGTACCATCGCCTCATCCAGCCATTCAAATCGAACCGATAGCGCAAGCAATTATTACACCACAAATTCATACGCACGCCACTGTGGAAACTGTTCACCAAACAGTATTAACATCTAACGATATGATTGTACAAACACAATATACTAGAACAACAACTACATTACCAAATGCTACAGTATTACCTCAAGAGAGTACTGTTCAAATAACAGAAATTACAGATCCACCATCTGTTGCGAGCGATTCTAGTATTACACAGAATATGATCAGCACGCCGATAAATTCGCCAGGAGGTGCGAGTTCTCAAACAGTCCCAAGCCCGCAGGTATCGCCTACATTTTCCTCGACCGGTGTACAAACCGCAGGCAACGAGTCGCACGCAAATATTCAGACAATAAAATTAGCTAAATCAAAATCTCCAAGAGCACCGAAGTCTCGAACAAAAGGCATTAAAACGCAAATTGTGAAAAATACTGTTCAACCACCGAATGGGCATCCTAGGTTTCAACCACTGCAAAATAATACTCCGGTTATACAATTGCAACAGGCTCAAAGACCAAGCGCGCCAACTGTAATATTACAACAAGTTGCGTCTCCTAGTATTATGTCTGCGTACGTCGAAACATTGCAACAACAGTCTGGACAAAATCTTCAGTATGTAACAACGATTGGTGGTCAACATGAAACCGCATTTAAGCCTCAGTTCATAACAACTAATCATTTAGTTCCTGGTGCGTATATACAAACACCATCTGATAATCTGTTAGCATTGCAAAACGGAGGTATATCGATCTTACCAGGCGTACAAATTGCTCAAACGCAACCGACAGTCCTTGGTACGATTATACAGCAACAACCCAGTGCAATTCAGTGCGGAGTTATATCATCCGAGCAACTATTATTGAGCTCAACGCCAACATTGGAAATGTTTACCGATTCAACGGGTAGTATGTTTCTTTCGAATCAACCGATGTATTACGGTTTGGAGACTATTGTGAGCAACACGGTAATGTCTTCCAGTCAGTTCATGACTGGCACCGTACCACAGGTGTTAGCAAGCAGTTACCAAACAACAACGCAGGTTTTTCAAGCTTCTAAACTTATGGAACCTATCGTGGACGTTCAGGCTGTTCCAGGTATTCCCACTGTAACAGCAATGCAGACTGTACAGAACGTACCTGGCGTACCCGGAGTTCCTACTGTACCTAACGTTGCTAACGTACCCAATGTATCCAATGTACCCAATATAGCTAGCATACCTAGTGTAACCAATGTACCTAATGTTCCGAATGTACCCACTATACCAACTATACCCGCTGTATCCTCTGTATCCACTGTATCCAATATAGCAAACATCACAAATATACCAAGCGTATCCAACGTTCCAACAATACCCAATGTACCTAGTGTACCCAGTATACCTAACGCACCTAGCATACCTAATATACCTAGTGCATCTAGCATAGCAAGCATACCTAGTGCACCTAGCATACCTAACTTACCTAGTATGCCCAATATAACAAATATACCTAATGCACCTACTTTACCTGGTACTTCTAACATACCAACGGTACCAGTTCAAAATGTATCCAATGTTCCCACCCTATCCTCCAGCGTACAATCCGTAGGGAATGTTTCGAACATGCCTACGGTACCCAGTGGTTATGTAGTTGTAAATCAGTCTACGCCCATAGCAGAGTCTGTGGTAACACCACAAATTAATATACCTGCAACACCTGAACGAAGCTTTACGTCAGCCACGTGTAATACCATATTCCCTGTGTCCTGTCAAAGTGTTGTTGAGCCAATAGCATCCGTACAGTTACCGGAAACATGCACATCGGAACCTCAAGCTACAACAAGAGTTACACCGTCTCCTAAATTGTTGCAAAATTCCATACCAACAATACCAAGAGTAGCTGTACGCCCGAGTCCAGTTTCTAATTCCACCGCGCAGCTAAACAACGGACCATGGAAACTTACAGAATCACTATTTGGTTCGGAACAGATTATGAGCAATAGCGTCCAACCATACTTCGACTCGAAACATGTATCAGAGAATACCAGTATGATAAAGTCTAGCATATCATCTAAAATACTCCCATTACCTAATCATTGTATAACTCAAAGGGATATAATTGTAAATAAGTTAAATCATGATGTAAATAATGTGCATAATAATTATAATAGTATCGTATCGAATTCAAACAATATTAATGTAAGTACAAGTAATAATCCGGTTAACGCCAGCTCGACCGTACAAAATAAGATCACGATGTCCACGTGCAACGTACCAACGAGTCGACCGATGAACAGAGTATTACCCATGCAAGCTGTAACACCGAAACAAGATACGACTAAAGTCACGCAAAAGACGGATATCATCATAGAGGAGCCAACGAAACCAGTGATCAAACCAGCGGAACCAGAGCTAGAACAAAAACTTACAGAGTCCAAGAAGCAAATCGTCGAAACTATAGTACCAACGGCAAAGAAACCCGAAACGACCATAAGCGATATTAACGAGACCTTGAAACTAAATACCGAAACCATCGAAAAGGTCAAGGAAAACTTCAAGTTGGAACTGGACAAAGAGAAATTACAAAATGCCTCGTTGAAAATAGTGTTGCAAAAGCAGCTGCAAGATGGTTCTTATAAAATTACACACAACATGAAAGCAGTGGCCCAGAATAAGAAGTCACCGCAAGTAACGTCTGTAGAAATATTGCCGTCGAAGCAGGTACCTCAGATAGCCTCGTTGCAATTGTTACCGATAAAAACGTTTACGTTGAAAACAAACAAGGTCGACGAAAAGGTGAAACCCATCGATAACAAAATAAACATGTTAAAAAACAAAACTCCGCCGGTTGCCGTTAAAAAGCCGAGGATCGTCAGTAAATCGATTAAATCTATTTCGCCCAGCTTACAGAGTGCACAAACTCAAAAGAGCTGTGCCAGGGGGCCGACTTTAATGTACGAGATCAAATCGCAGGATGGGTTCACTCACACCGCATCTTCGATGGCTGAAGTATGGGAGACTGTGTTTCAAGCTGTTCAGAGCGCTAGAAAAGCTCACAATTTACCTCCGTTACCTCACAATCCTCTTATCGAAAATATGGGCTTGGAAAACAACGCCACGGTATACCTGGTGGAACAGCTACCGAACGTGAACAAATGCAGTAAATACAAGGCCAAGTTTCATAATTTAGCACCACCTAAAACTGGCGAAACGGAAGGCGATTTACCAAAGGCGTGTGATAATGGTGCTGCCCGCGCGGAGCCGTTTAAAGGAAGGAAAGTTCACGATATGTTTAGTTGGCTTGCATCCAGGCACAGGCAGCAACCAAAAATGATCGCTATTTCGGAGGCTGAATCGAGGTATCTGTAGTTCGCAGTATATTGCTTAATAATTTTTTTTGGAGTATCATAAGGAAATACTTATTCTTTATTTATTATACATAATCTTAGTTCTTTGTTTTGCAGGCGAGTGGCGAGCACAAATTTGCCAATGGCGATGCGTTTTAGAATACTTAAAGAAACATCGAAGGAATCGGTTGGAGTGTACCATTCTCATATACACGGTAGAGGTTTGTTTTGTTTAAGAGATATCGAAGCTGGAGAAATGGTTATCGAATATGCCGGCGAGGTACGTAAATTGGCAAAAAGTGTTTTTATTTTGTAGATTGATAAGCAATGAACGTGTCAGTAATAACATTCTCTGAATATTTCCAGGTAATTCGATCCTCTCTGACAGACAAACGGGAAAAGTACTATGATAGTAAAAATATAGGGTGTTATATGTTTAAAATTGACGACCATTTGGTTGTCGATGCTACAATGAAGGGAAATGCAGCGAGATTTATTAACCACTCGTGCGAGGTATATATTTCCATAATCATTTTTTCAATACCTATATTTCTCGAAACAAACAAATGAATCCATCCATTTCCACGTTCTGTTCCAGCCAAACTGTTACTCGCGAGTGGTGGATATCCTAGGTAAGAAGCACATTTTAATTTTCGCTCTCCGACGCATCACTCAAGGGGAAGAGTTAACGTATGACTACAAATTTCCTTTCGAGGATATTAAGATTCCATGTACCTGCGGTTCCCGCAGATGTCGTAAATACCTCAATTGAGACTGCGTATACAGTTATCGTAAGCAGCCGACAGGTCACCGCAAACATATGTGCTATAATTGCGCGCGCTTTGGAATAGGATTCATTTTATTGAACGTTATTCATTTAATCATCGAACTATTTTCAGAGATTGCAGCTTTTTATTACTATAATGGAAATAGATTATACATTTAAAATATTGTATTAGAAGGCCAGATATAGTACACGAAACATCGCGTTATGACAATGTTACTTTAAACGGCTACGCATCGTAGTTGATTTAAGGGGGTATACTTGTAGCAATAAATGATTGAATATGTCCTGCTTTCATACCCGGCGAGCCCCGCGTGCCCTCGTCACGTCGCTACTCATGAAAGTGTTAATTTTATCCACGCCTGTGCTTTCACGCACGTCTTCTAGACTCTACTTATTATCTACTATTGAGGCTTAAAGTGTACAAGTTATCGTCACTTTACACTAAATCTAAAGCGCCTTTAGCTTATATACATACACATACGTATGTGTATATCGTTTTTATAATATTTTGAGTTAGAATTCTAAAGACTCTATCTACGATTGGACCAATGTGAAATGTGAAATTTGAACGAAAATGCGTAGCACAAAATCGACGTACTTATAGGGAAGCTTGCGTTTTCCACGACCGTTACTTACATATTTTTTTTATTTTTTTTTTTTTTTTTTAAATTCATCTAAACATGGAAACGGACTATGTTTACTACGCATTAAGCAAGGACTTGAAACCAAAATTCTTGGGTATCGGTCATTTTTCGGTTAAATCGCACCGAAACCTGTGGAACCAAAGAAATACTGAAAGTGAAATCGATATCGGTATTTTTCTGGTTTTCAATTTACCCGACAAGATCTTTATGTGACTTATTGAAGTGTATACATGATATACATAATGCAGACGTAACGTTAACGTATACATACGCTGATGCATACAATGTATATAAAAGCTTATAAAAAAAATTATACAAAAGAAGTGGGGTTTCAAAAGAAGAAATGTTGCGTAAGAAATTGTTTACCGGTATGACGTCATCCCGGTATTTTCATACCTCTATTTCTGCAAAGGTTTCTTATAGACGTAACCGGAAAATATCCGTATAAAACCGATGCATCGCGTTTCGGTTTGAGTCCCTGATATTAAATATTAAAAAGATCATCGTGAATATAACTTGTAAATTAACAAACACACACACACACACTATTCCATGTGAAGTTCAATTTTACGCGTAATGGTATAGATATATCATTTATTGGTATAATTGTAGATTTACATGTTTTATGTAAAAGTGAATTTAGTGTACAGTGTACGACTAACTTTGTGACATTTCATGTCTGCTGTAGGGCCAGATTTCAAATGTTCTTGTAAAATATGTAATTGTTAGATTAGACATTGTCTTGATGTAAGTACAGCTACCGGTTTAACTTAAGTTAACGATATAGAAATTAAGGGAAAAAGGCGCGTGCGTATGTGTGTGAGAAAGAAAGAGAGAGAGAGAGGGGGGGAGAGAATGCAAGAAGGAACAGTTTCCTAGCGTGGGATACTGTTTGGAAGGTGTACCTACTTTGGCAGACATTGATGATATTTTAAGTCTTGTTGTAGTAGAACAAAAAATACGTGAAACGAAAACTTGCTTCCCGATGAAATTAAAGTCTGTTCGTTTCAAACGGTGGATTATGTACGCGTAATATTATTTTGATATTGTTTTTTTTTTGTTTTTTTTTGTTTTTTTTTTTTTAAATAGATTTTTAAACATTGCACCCATGCGTTTGTGCTTCCGCCTTGCCAATTATACAATATTAATCTCATTACTTTATTTTTTATATATTTAACGAAAGCCGCCGTAGAGAAAAAAGAAGTTTTATTTTACAGAAACTCGATGGAACCGCTAATTGTATAAGATAGTCGACGAAGTTTCTGTCAAAACAAAATCTTTCACGAATTGTAAAAAAAGAAAAAGTCAAAAAAAAAAACGAACGAACATCATGAAACTAATTACGTTGACAAAATGTAAAAAGGATAATTAGATCATTGTTTGAAGTAAACTTTTCTAGAGCACGATCTAGAAAATGTTTGTGATATTTTCCCACAATGGGAAAAAATTATAAATGTTCTTTATAGGAATATATTTCAGATTTTTACGGATAACATTGACATGTTCCGTAAAAAAAGACACCTTTCTGTGAAATGCAGTTTTGCCTTACCTTTAATGTACCTACGCTTTAACCCGGTGATAGATTTAGATATACCCCGATGACTTATATTCAAACTGAAGAAAAAAAAAAAAAACTGTAATTGCGTCTATGCATCGATTAAGCTATGATAAAGTATTTTAGTGCGATTAATCAATTTCTGCCGAGGTGGTTGTCCCTTAAATTTTTGGTGCTCCATGGACACCGTTAAGTGCACTTTACAATGAAAAAATGGCCTAGAGTAAGAGATAGTAGATGGCAGCGGAAGAGTTTGATAATAATAAGAAATGCGTTATACGAAGAATATTGATCGCGAATTATTTAAAGAAGTAATATAAAGAATAAATGATGGCAGGAACATTATTTGTGCACGCGAGTAATGTCGGTCGTGCGAACAATTTTAATCGGCCTGGTTTGGTACAAAATGCGTACGCTGATTTGTAAAAAGTTATAAAACAAGGAAAAAATGGAAACTTGTTCTGGTCACGAGAAATTGCCATTTTTTTTAGGTATTTTGAATCTTTTTTTTTTTTTTTTTAAATATTATGATTACCAGTAATTAGTAACTATTATTGGAAAGATGAATATTGTTAATATAATGATAATTATTTTTAATCTGTAAAAAAAAAAAAAAGGTAATACGATATAAGAAAGGTAATTTACTTGAAAATATAATAGCAATGTTAGATATTTTATTGATATTTATTACTTACGGATGACGGTTCTAGGGTTGACGAGAAGTACTAATCGAATTGAAACATGATTTAGAACATGGTGCACACGATGATCTAATATTGTTGAGAGAAACTGGATAACACGAATGTCAACTTTTCTTTTCACGAAGAAAGAATGCATTCTCTCTTCTAGATGCACTGAAGTAATTGTTACATGTCTGATCAATGACACCAGATTATTTGGGATTATTTGGGATTATGAAATATAAAAGGCATTTGATATACTTTATATTCCCATAGCAGATTAATATCCATGGTGATTGTAACCGGCAAGTCTATATCGAGTATATACATATATACCTACGTATCGATGAACAAATTAAGGACATCGTTTCTTAATTGTATTTTTTATTTATAAAAACGTGAAATGTTTTACGCTCTTACTGTCTTACACTTTTCTTTTCTTCTTTTCTGTGAAGCTACAAAGAATTTGTCCGAGCGCTTTCTGAAACATACTCTATATCGTTTAAATATGATTCCCTAACTCGCGGAGTGTGTACAAGCTCCTTTAGTATTACGCATTCAGCCTCCATTATTATCGTTATTATTATTACAATTAATTATAATCTACACAAGAAGAATAGCATAATACATCACCACTCATACTGCGCACCGTTTGTTTACTACACCCATCAGCACCCATTTAAAAAAAAAAAAAAAGAAAGAAAACGTAAAAAAATAATGAAGCGATTCCGTGTGAAAAAAAAAACGAGCAAAAAAAAACCGACGTTAGATGAAATATACAATTGTAATCATGAAATTTGAATCTGTATATGTATACTTTATCCTCGACGTAAAGTTGCTTTAGGTAATGGAAGTGTTGGACATCTGCTAGTTTGGTGTGATAATGAAAATGAGTGGTTAAGTTATTCATGGAACTGTACGGTGCCCGTTATTAATTTTTACGACAATTTCAGAGCATCGCAGCGTTACATCCTCTTGAAACCGAGCGTTTCAATATCTCTTCATGTCCGTTGGATTTTCGTCGTTTTTATTCGTAAAATTAAGGAATTAAGAAATTGAAATGTAAAACGCTTTTAAATGAAGGAAAAAAAAAAAAAGAAACAACACATGTGTAAACGAAAGAATTACTACTACTCAAACTATTGTAATTGTTTAAAGAAAAAATGAGGAGGACGAGGAAGGAAAAACGATTGCTATTGATAAATTTGAAAAGGGAGAGAGAAAAAAATGAAAGGAAAAATGGATAAAATTGTCTGTGATTATCAGTCATAATAATCTTTAGGTCGACATATTTTTTAGAGAATATTTTTTAGCAAATTACAAAATTTATGATATACCCCTATTATTGATATGATATTGGATCAGACACGCTACGCATAATATTAAAAATGAAAGAAACGAAAATGAAAAACAAAAAAAAAGGAAAAAAAAAGATGAAAATTGAAACTGTAAAAGTTGCAAACTGTTTAATAGAATTATGAGTAGTTGAGATCGATGGCTGTTGTAAAATATTCAGTGTTTGGACAAATAATTATTGAAACTATTTATAATAACTAATACCGAGGTATATATTATTGTATCCGATACGTATAGTAGCGTTTTTATCTATTGCGTTCGCGTATTCGTCAGGATAGATTAGAGTGAATTCGGATCGTAGGGATCATCGTACGAGACGAAATCATGATTAATGTAAAATTCAACCGAAGAGACGCTGCGGGCAAATGGGACGTATATTACTGTACGCGTTCAGCGTGTAAAGTGTCGTTAATAAATTTATTCACTTACTGTAGGGAACTTATAAAAGTAACCGTAATATTTACATTAACCAGATGATATGCGTATCTGCATAGAAGACACATAACCGCTTTCATTTCACACACACACACACATGCACACACACGAATACATACAGATAGACACACTATACCACATACGTACTGCGAAGGGCATAACTGCACCAATAACAACAGATTTCGTGAAATTCATTTGGTATTGTCATTAACATTAACATAAGGTATACAACAAATACATATAACAGAAACATTTTGCACTATTTAATATAATCTAAACAATTTTTCCAAGTTGTCAATGGTGTATTGCTCACCTGCAAGCTATTAAAACTAGAAAATTATATTGCTAAAAATATCGTGCAAAATTGTACCAATGTATATTCCTTGTTGCAGCTGATCATCAATACATGGGCAACTTGAAAAAATTCTTTGCATTACATCAAATGGTGCAAAATATCTTAACGTTAAGGGCAACATAAAATGAAATATACGAAATCTGTGGTTATTGGTACAGTTGTGCTCTTCACTGTACATACACGGAAAAAAGATAGGACACACACACACACACACACACACCCGTACGCCCATGTTTTGTATTTAAATGTTTTGTTAGTATTATAATATGAGAAATTAACAAAATAAAAACGCAAATGGAAATATATATATATATATATATATATATATATATATATATATATATATACATGTCCCGTGGTGTGTAAACGTACCCCCAACGCTGTATCTCGTGAGTTAAACAGAGAGTTTCGTTATTCGCAAAACGCTGATTTTACTTTTAGGATGTCGTATCTAGTATCTGGCACGTCGACTGAACAAAAAAAAAAAGAAAAGAAAAGAAAAAGAAACGTCCGAGGAATAAGAAGCAATCTTGCGAACACTCGTTAATTTTTTAAATATTGTCAGCGCGCAATTAGTTTAAAAACATAAAAGCGGCAATCTTATCTCTCTCTTTGTCCGTTCCCAGAGACGGTTAGACGCTGAGCAAGTACCATATTGTAATCTACGATACCACTTGTTCATTGTAACAGCGACGTGCGTTATAGGTCATGCTTTTTTTCCACGTGTGAGAATTCTTTTTTTTTCCCCCGTTTTTCACGGTGCGTATTCGGTTGAGCGCGCGTCGCTGACTCATGCGAGTATAGCTCGGATGTTGTTGCGTGTACCTTGCGAAGAAGAGAAAAATTGTTTCTTCGAAAGTTGGAGCTCGCGTATGCATATGCATATATGCAATGCGTGTGCGTGTGCGCGTGCGTGCGTGCGTGCGTGGAGATTTGTGCGTTTTACTCGAAATCGAGCAGACGAAAAGGAAACCCGTCGGGTTTCACTCGAAACTCGTATTGAAATTTTAATCGTATTTTATCGAACTCGTCTCGACAAACCGAAACGAACGTTGTATTCGAAACGATGAACGCGATCACACGAACGAATTTTGTTTCGTCACTTAAAGGAAATTCGATTCTGTGATTTTTCGGTGACAAAAAAAAAAAACAAAAAGAAGAAATAAGGAAAAAGAAATACATATATGAAATGAAATCAGTATTACGAATCTCCGGATACGTATAAATTTCTAGGAGCAATAAGTAGTAGATAGTTTCAAACGTCTACGACTTGTAATATTAATCAATTGGCATTAACAGTGACGCATCACTTCGGTAAAATATAATTGTGAGATAAGATACGGCCGGAAACCGTAGACGGCGGAGTATGTTGTAACGATATGCATACATTATTATCGCTATTTTCGCGTGTGTGTTTATTAAATGCACAGTCCTTCCACAAACTATCTTAATCGTATTATTAAATGAATGTAGCGTAATCAAATATTATTAGACGATGTAGATAAAATGTAAATATGGTACTGTATCGCTTAACAAATGAAATTTTATTAATACATTTGCTTGTTTCGTATTTAAAAAAAAAAAAAAACAAAAAAGGAATTTAAAAAAAAACGTATGGTACAATTATTACTTAGGGACGCGGATTTCAAACTGGAAACTTTCGACAAAAATGGGAAGAGGTATATTCAATAAAGTTAATTATCGAGTGACTCGACTTTATCTGTAGGGTTACGCCGCCTTGGCATCGTCGAAATAGTGGGTATTCACGAATTTTTTTATAGTAAACTACGCTCCAATTTTTAATGAGTTTTGTTTACACGAATAAACTATGCAACGAGCTTTTAAAAAATATTTTTTATATTTACATTGTATTAGGTTTCAGCATACGGCAAGCATGCGAACTAATGGCACCATCCCAGCTCGACATCTCCCAGTGGCGTTATTAATTTTTAACAAGATTTCGAGAAAAATACTTGCGTACACCCACCAGCCATAATCTTTTAATTACGACCGATTTTTGTAAGTATATTAGAATCAGTTCTGTACCATTTTTTAATATTAATACTGTAATTTCATTGAACAGAAATATTTAGATACTTTTTTCACCGCAGAGGTGGTGTAACCGTAAAAAAAAATAACTAGTATTAATAATTTTCTAGCTCCCCGGTGATTTCTTGATAATAGAGTGAAAATTTCCTTTGATACCAAGAGCAAGAAAAACGGAAATTTCTTCGTTGATATTAAATATTACTCGTAAATCGGTAATGTTTAAATTCATAACCAATGAATTTTCTGTTTCGGTTTCTTTCGTTACCAAAGATGGATCCTTTTTCATCGTAAATGATCCACGAGCGAGAAAAATAGCAAACGAACTCGCACGAAAACTCGATAACCGAGAGAAAGATTTTAAAAGGCGTATTACTGTAACAACATCGTTGCGCTCGATCGTTTCCGTAGAACAGTGAATAACCTCCTCGTTCTCACGTACGAACACTTAAGAAGCTGGTTATCCTACCCCTCCCCTCCCCCCGACCACCGCCCCCACCTCTTCTTACGTACAGCTTCAAGAAAGCCCAAGCGTTACATGCGGGCATTCGCCGCTCTTTTCTTTCTCTATCTTTGTTCTCCGAGTAACATCAAAGTGCGGTTCCTACCTCGTCACCGCGTGTTCTCGGCAACGAGGGTTCGGTAGTTCCACTCACCTACTCCTTTTCCTCCTTTACCATTACCACCACCATCGCCATCTCTTTCCACCTCCTCGACGACGCTTTCATGCATCCCTCTTCGTACTCGCGAGCAATGGACGACAAGGTGTTAGTCACCTCAAGGACGTTCACTGTAATTGGGATAGGTCGGATAGATACGTCGGAAGGGGAAAGAACCAGTAAGATAGACGAAGACGGAGAACGGTTAAAGCAAATGGTGGGGGATACGTTGAGAGTAGTAACGGGACTAATACGATACATATCGATGATATACGAGCAATTGGATATCCTATCTAACGACAACCATCAAACGATTAACCACTCGAGGGATGAATTTTAAATGAATTTTAAATGAATACTTTTTGCACTAATCGAGTACAGAAAATGAATTCAGGACCGTCGTGATAGTATCATAATAGCAATAAACATATACTTTTATTCCTCGCAAGAATCGACATAACCATTTCCGAAATTCCTTTGGAGAAAATTGCTTTATAAACGATCGACGCGACGCTGGCAGCTTCTGGTCCTATGGGCCGATTCGCAAACACGCACCCATACGGTAAGACGGCCCTGAATCAATCGCAACTTCGATAATTAAAATATGATAACGTTCAAACCATTAGACGTCAGAGTCAGATCGCTTATACGTTATTTTTGTTCGATATCTATCGTTCGAATATAATTTTGTTCTCCACTTCGGTAACTGGTATCGAGCATGTCGATACGGTGTTATTCCCATCGCTAGTCGGGAGTAGGAGAGTGATTGGGTGGCTCGTGGTGGGGCGAGGAAAGTGGTAGGAGCGAGAGAGGCATAGAGATAAAGAGAGGTCGCGTTGATGCGTGCGTTTCTGTAAATGGCGCCTGGCAGAGCGTCGCGCGTCACGGACTCTCTCTTTCTCTTTCTCGTGGTAGCCGCGAGTAAGGGTCCCCCGCCTGCCGTACTCGTGGTGCATCAGTCCTGGACCGGAGGTTGTGCCGTGAGATACGCGTCGAAGCCGAACGCGAGTGTACGGATTGAAACCGGTGACGTTCTTTTCCTCGTGCTCGGCCGTGGCATGTTGTGTCGCATTCGCCATTAAGTGAGCGTCGATGCTAGTGGTACTTGTCGTTGATTTCGCGTGCATGCAACATGGAAGAAGGTGCGTTGGTGCTACGATAGTGGTTTCCAAGCAAGGAGAGTTCCGCGCGACAGCAACGCCGCCTGTACACGGAACGAAGAGTATATATCGGCTGCTATCGCCTCCTGCTTCTCCGCCTCTTCATCCCTGCCCCCCTTCTTCCTCGTCCAAACTATCAACACGCAGCCGCCTTTTCGCCTTTGTTCGGACTCGAGTGAGCTCGTTACCACGGACATACAACGGAGGCCGCAGGTAAAGACCGATTCAGGGCCGGCGCTGTCACAAGATGCAAGAGCGAAAGAGAAAGATAGAACGTAAGAAAAAGAGATACATACGTTCGGTCCGCGATGCACCGCGTACCGGGTTTCGTAATTCTCGGCTGAGAGGAGCGAACGAATAGAATAAAAAGAGTGAGGTTAGGAACCGGGACTGTCCTGTTCGCAGCCAGCGATGTAGGTGAAAATGCAATTAAGTTACGTTCCACTCGGCTGACGTGAAACCGTGCGTTAGCCCAAGCCTCTGAGTATAGACCGACGACCGTAATATATGCGAATGAAATGCGAAATATTAGTAGCGTACGCACAACGTGACCTGAAAATAGATCCCAAAGATAGAGCGAGACGGAAAGAGGTAGTCGACCGTGGACTCTCTCCGTACATGCTTGCATTATGTCTACAGTGATTCCTCGTTTCGAGTAAAGTATTTTATACGATTTTCGAGAAACCGACTTGTCTCTGCCAGTGTTTATGTTTCTTCGGCTCGAAGTCGATGGGTCCGCTGGCAGCTGTGGAATTAAAAACTCGCTGGCGGAACTTCAAAGCGATGCCTTCGTGCGTGTAACGGCGTGGCAACCGCCAATGCGAAGTAAAAACTTTTGTATTCATTGGCTTTATCTTCGTCGTATCGACGATTGAATATTAAGTCACAGAATCAATTTCTACACCTAATAATTCAAAATTTCGACGAGTATTGCTCTCGTAGAGATACAATTAAAACTAGAAAATTTAAGTTCGCATTAACGCTGACACACCGATACACGTTCGGCATGGCTTTGAAGTTTCGTGCTACTCTTTCGCTGTTGCTCTACCTCGTACGCTCTCAATGTGTATTCAAATATGGGACAAAGTCTTATCTAGATAAAAATTCAAATAAGGAACGAAAGGTAAATTACCGTTTGTCCGTTATTCATTGAATACAAATTTTGAATTTGAATTACAAAATGAAATATCTCGTAACAACTAAATGAAAATTTACACTGGCTTCTTCGAGTGGCCTGTTTGAGCTAGACTAGTTGCCAAGGAGAAATTCTCTTCTGACCCTCGACTTAGGATAACTGCCAGTCCCTATTTTCAATCTTTAAAACGAGAAATTACTGTATATGTGTTTTCAATAGCGAAACGAAATCTGCTATCCTTGTTAGACCTACTGGCTGCGTTAAATTTACTAATCGCGAGCTATTTAGCCATTCCGATTTAAACG